ATGTTAACCTGACAGGAAGTGCTTATTTTATCATGTTAACCTGACAGGAAGGGCTTATTTTATTATGTTAACCTGACAGGAAGTGCTTGTGTTTTCTTATGTTAACCTGACAGGAAGTGTGTGTGTATTTTTGTCAGGCTAAAAGAAGTGAAGACTGATGGTTTAACCACCTTGGGAACCAGTGGCAGTGGGACGCCTCAGGTGGTCAACAGCAGCATACAAATCCTGGCTCAGGCTCTTGGTCACATTGAGCAAGGCATTGAGAGGCGCTTCCTCAAACCTCCATTGGGTACGTCTGTGTACCTGGGGCTTCCTGTTTGAGGTTTTTTCTGTGGTCAAACACTGTAACATATAGAAACGAGAGATACTGAGGACTTGTGCCTGACCACAGCAGCATCTGGGGTTAAAACAATCTGGTTTGATTTCTACCATTACCATTATAAACCCATTACCAGTAACCATTAGCTATGAATTCTAATGATACAGATGTGATGACACATTTTTATTTACTGAGTTGGATCATTTTATTCCTCTACAGCTGATGAAGACTCAAAGAAAGACCAGAAGATGAAAAAGAAAAGAAAAGAAGACAAACAGACCAGTGATGGTACGGTACATGTTTCAGTTTTTTATTTTTTGTTTGATGCAGCACCCAGTTTATGTTTTACCTTCTCGTCTGGTAGACGGCGGCACGGACAGCAATCGAGTCGTGAAGACGGTGTTAGAAAGATGGAGGGAGTCCCTGCAGTCCTGCTCCAGTCTGTCCCAGGTCAGAGCTTAACACGGTGTGAAAGTCAGGAGCCGGTAAACGGAACGCTGACCCACTTTTCTTCCAGGTGTTTGTTCACTTGTCCAGTCTGGAGCGGAGCATCCTCTGGTCCCGGTCCATCCTGAATGCGCGCTGTCGGATCTGCAGATGTAAAGGTGATGCAGACAACATGGTGCTGTGTGACCGCTGCGACCGAGGACACCACATCCGCTGCCTGAGACCCCGCCTCAAGGTAAACCACATACCATTAAGACTCCGCCCACTCCATCTGGTATTTATAGACGCGGACGAAACGACTAAAACGAGAGTGGATTACATCATCTGAAAGAACAACCTGATCGAAACTGTGAAAAATGAGACTGAAAATAAATTGTTATAAAAACTAGAGAAATTGTATTTCCTGCGAAAATGCTGCGTGAATGCTTATTGCAGAAGAACTTGCTGAAAAACAGCTGAAATTAGCTAAAAGAACGTAATGAAATGTAGCTAAAAAGTTAGAACAAGCTTAAATTAGCAGAAGAAAACAGAAAGAACACATTTACTGAAAGAAGTTTAAATAGGCAGAAATTAGCACAAAAATTAGAAAATTAGCTTAAAAAGTTGAAATTAGCAACAACAAAAAAGTAGCTGAAAATGCAAAAAAAAATGAGATTAAACTGCCAGAAGGAATTGGAAAGCGCTGAAATGAGCTAAAACAAAGTATGGAATTAGCAGAAAAGGCTAAAATTGGCATAAAAACAGCTAAATAGTAACTGAAATAGCAGAAAAAGCTGGAAGGATCATAACAAGCAGAAATTTGCAGAAATAAGTTAATTAGGTTTAAATTGCATTGGAAAAACATGAATTTTTCTGAAAACGGCTGAAATTAGCTAAAAATGTAGCTGAAAAGGTAGAACAAGCTTAAACTAAAAGAAGCAAAAAGAATGTTTTCTGAAAGAAGCAGAAATTAGCAACAAAAAAAAAACTGCTGAAAAGTAGCTAAAAAAAGGCAGAAATGAGCTGAACCTACAAGTAGTGGAGAGAGCACATTTTTGCTGAATTAGGTTGAAAAAAGTTGAAATGATTGCAAAAAAAAAATTTACAATTAGCTGAAAATGCTTAAATTAACATAAAAAGCTATATAATTGCTGAAATAACAGAAAAAGCTGAAACTTGCAGAAGTAAGCTGAAAGGAGAAAAACGAGCTGAAATGAGCAGAAAGAAGTTAAAGAAGCACAAAACAGCTGAAAGAAGCTGAACCATAACAAAAGGAGCAAAAGGAGCAGTAAAAGGTTGTAAACAGATCTAAAGATTTGAAGGATGTAAAATGAGCTCAGTTCATTTTCTATGAGGGAAAAATGGCAGAAAAGGCTAAATATTTCAAAAAAGCTAAAGTTTCTCCAAGTTATAGCAGGATTGTCCTGAAAGAGCTGAATGTTTTGATTTATGATTGGTTGAAATGGCTGAAAACTGCGGGACAAGAATCGTGCTGAAAAATGGATGACAACATTCACACAGTAAAGTTACTGACCGCTGATAAAAAATGAGTTCTGTAGGGAGTAGGTGGAAAGGATGAGGAAGGATATCACCCTGCGGTCTCACCTCGCACATGACTTCAGTCTGTTCCAGAAGGAGACTGGTTCTGCCCGGACTGCCGGCCCAAACAGAAATCTAGCCGCATCCCGTCCAGACAAAGATCCTCCGTCGATGAGGAAGAAGATGATGAAAATGACGAGATAGATGAAGCGTCAGAGGAAGAGGAAGAAAAGTTTGTGAGGTAAGTACAGAAGTTTAAACATTTTGTCTCTCATGAATCCAGAACAGAACCTTAAACCTGTTTACTGTGCAGCGCCAAGAAGAGCCAGGCTCCGCCCCTCAAAGGCAAGAGCCAACAGGCCACGCCCAAAAGTCAACAAGCTCCGTTCCAAAACAGTGCAGCTGCCTCGTCAGGGAAAACCTCCTCAGCCTCCAGGTGAGCTTTTCTTAAAACTTGACTCTGGTTTCCTGTGGTTCTGAAAAGACCCGACTAACTCTGTCCAAACAGGTCCTCCGGGAAAAAAACCACACCTCCAATCTCCAAGGCCAAAGCTCCGCCCTGTTCAGGAAGTCGCAGCACGGCCCATCTGAGCAACAAGCTACTGGCACCAAGCGGCAGCAACAGAACTCCCCCCGGCCAGAACAAGAAACTGTCCACAGGTAAACGAACATCCAGAAGTCATTAAAACAGTCGAGACAACAGCTAAACAACCACTTGGAAACAGCTGCTGACGTCGGCACAGCAGCAGAAGCAGCTGGGACTAGAGATGGACCA